CTGGACTAACAGAACGGTTCAGAACTGATTATAAGACAGAAATGTTAATTAATCATCATAAATGTTTTGCAGTGATTTCTCTTAGAGTCTATCAGAAGAAAGCTGAAGAAGGGTTATCATCCTGTTGTGAACAGCCATAGAATTTTAACCTTGGGCTGGCACCCTGGCAAATCTTATCTTTCTTTCTCTGACTCATCTCTATGCCTGAGGGCGGAACCAAAGATTGTCCGTTACTCTTACTAACATGGATGGCTTTGAGGAACGGACACACTCTTCTTCCTGATGCCAACAAGGAAGAAAGCTGAGTTTCTCTCTGGGGAGAGACTCAGTTTGGCTTTTGAGTCTTAACTCATGAGCTAACTAGGGAAGACTTAACGGCCGGGGCCCGGCACGCTAGCAGGCTGTCCCACCCGAGGCTTCGAGCCTCCAAGTGTGTTTTTACCTCCCGAGGGGAGATTTTATTTTGAAAGAAGGAACCGGATGTCAGCTAGAATCTGTCTGGCTTGGACTGAAACAGATGAAAAGTTACCTGGAAAACACCTACTCGCCAAGGAACAGTAAGCGAGCCGATAAAAAGTTCCCTGACTGATCGGAGGTGAGACAGTTCCTACCCAGGGGTGACTCAAGAAGCCATCATCGGGTAAAACTGACGTGTTCGGAGTGGCATGTCATGTGGAAATCTAAGCGCAGAAGGGACGTGCTGATCCGGTTGAACCACACTTTGTTAAAGTACAATTAGTAGAAATACTAACCTTACTTTCCTCCTTTTCTTGTCTTATTTGCCAAAACTTAAGCTGAAAGTGCCAGTAAAATTGTTTGGTTGTTAACATTAGAACTGACGTTTTACTGTTCTATATAAGCAACCTAAGTTGATGTGAATTGAAATTCGGATGTGAATTTTCATCTCATTTAACTTTGACACTTTTTATAGGAATACCCACAATCAAGTGTACTTATGATTTGTTCAATTTGTGTAAACAAATGATTGCATAGTCTTTTATGAATCAACTTAAACTCGTCTGAACGTTCACTTATTGTGTCACTTTTCACTTCGCACAGTCAAGATATTAAAAGTAATGAGAAATACCTTGGTAAAAGGTTCCTCATAACCTTGTGTATGAGAGATGTGGGAGAAGCTTAATTCACCTTAAGCCCCACTCCTACAATAGCTCGCTAGCAGCCTCGCACCAAGGACCTATCCATGTCATCATTTACCCATGTAGGGGTCACCTCGAGTGAAATTATCAAGGAAACTGTCTTGGACCTCAGTCCTCTGATTGGGCCTTTAAAGGGACATAAACTCTGTTCCACTCAGAACTGAATTTAGGCCACCTTAGGTCGCCTTAACATTTCAAGGAGACACTCTTCTTATTAATCAGATAATAGACTGAAGAATCTTCATCTAATTTGATTTATTGTTCTCTTAACTGAAAGTTATTATGCATTTTGATAATCAGAGAAAGTTTATCAAAGTTACAGGAGAAAAGAGGACACATCTCTTTTATCCCTCAGTATGATTCAGCTATGTATGGATTTTCTGTGCAAAATCTTATTGAACTAAAATAATCTTTATGGTTTAAAGTTGATGAAACATTAATGTTTTACTTGTCTGAATCATATTTGCAAATGTTTTGAATTTGAAGTAATTCATTCTTTCAGTTATGTTTTTAAAGAAGTTCTCATCAGATTATTAAATGGGTCATGATATATTTTGTTTCTGAACCACACAGAAACAATAATGTTTGTTTAGTTTCAGGAGGCACGGCAAGTTTCTGAAACTAACACTTTCCTTGATAACTTATTTTCTCATGTCACCTCTGGTGCGGAACTTAGATTCTCTGAGCTCTTTAGAAACTAAGAGTTTCCGCCCGGACGGAAGAAAGTGACAGACAGCTCATCAGTCACACTGACAGCTCGATTCTCCAGGGAATCAAGAGCTAAGCTGTGCTAGGTTTAACTCTTCTCGCCAATGAGGAAACCTCACAGCCTGGATCAGATCAACGCCTGATCGATCCACTTAGAAAAACTTTCCTGCTGGAAGTTTTATTCTGAAATCGGAATCTAGGTTTGGCTTTGCCTTCTTTCCTACGGCTTGACGCGGACGCAAGCAAAGTCTGACCTACACGCCGAGGGTCCCTCTGTGTTGATGGTCCTAAGACGGATTTTCTAAGCAGAACCCAAAATACCAGGAAGGTGACTGACCACATCTAAAGGTAAAAAGCTGGCTGTGTTATGAACTTCACTGTCTGGCAAAACTCCGAGTAGAAAGCCTCGCCTATCTGGTTAAACCCCACATTTTTTTAAATTAAAAGTAGGAAAAGCTAACACCTTACTTTCCTCCTTTGTCTTAAAATCTTCCTTGCCAACCTAAGTTAATTGCCTCAAATGTCTGGTATTAAACATCTAAGCTGACATTTGTGTTTCTAGTTAAAGAGTCTGTGGTTGTCAATTAAGAAGCTAAAAGCTTTGTTATTGTTGGTCTCAAAACTTTTATAGGAAATTAGTTGTTCACAATTAAGTGTATATTTGTGATTTTGTATGATTTGTAAAGTAAACGATTGCATCTATTTATGGATCAAATCAACATTCACTGACTGAGAGTCACTTTTTGTGTCCATTCATTTTTGCACTGGAGGAATGCTTATCTAAGATAAAAGAGATCCCTTGCTAAATAACACCTGTCATAAGAGGTGTAGGTGTACCCCTACACCCAGAATGCTTTGCGTGTAAATAAAATGGCTCAGTTTGTGTTAAAATATACTTTTAGAAATTTACAAAAATAAACAGCCTACAGTATTTTTACAGTCTTTATATTACACTTGAAATATTTTTTTATAAAATAAAGTCTAATGTTACAACTAATCATGGAGCCCTTTAAAGCTTTTGGTTATGCTGTTGGTGTGATGTTCTGTATTTTATTCTGTGTACAGGTAAAACTCTGAGTCCTCAGGTGATGTTCCATAACGCAGCCTCCAACATCATCTGTAAGGTTCTGTTTGGGACCCGTTATGAGTACAATGATGAGACCATTAAAAAAGTTATTCAGTGGTTCACAGAGATGCTGAAAATATTTAATGGACCGTGGGCCATGGTGAGTCTAAGTAGGCCTGAAACAATTATTGTCAACAGGCTCAATCACACCTGTTTATTACATTAGGCTCAATTGTCTTTTGTCTTCTCATTAACCACGCCCAATCACACCTGCTTCCTGTCCCATTAGGCTCAATTGTTTCCATTCCTCTAATCAGGTCCAATTACACAGGTTCCTTACCCCATTAAGTTTAAGTGTCTTGTCCTCTCAACCGCAGTCGTTATCATCCTTTAACGTTGTCCAAAATATCATCTAAGCATTGTTATGTGTTCCTATACCACATCCACATGATTAAATTCTATTAAACCCAAATTTTACCCCTCACTGTACTCCAGTTTCCCCCACAGCCCAAAAATATGTACAATAGGTTGCCTTCTGGCCCAGGCCTCTCTTGAAAAGGAGATCTTCAATTTCAGTGGGATTTGCCTGCCTAAATAATGGTAAAATGAAATGAAATAAACTTTGATCTAATCAGTAATAATTAATCTTTCAGCTGTACGACTCAATTCCATATGTTTCGTACCTGCCACTGCCATTTAAAAAGGCCTTTAAGAATATGGAGGTAATTTACACACAGCTTAGACACAAACTAACAACATCAAGAATGCATGTTATTAATTAAAGCTGTGTCATTTAGCTGTATCTCGACTTTTCAAATGGTTTGGTGAACGAGCACAAGAGGACCAGRACYCCTGGAGAACCTCGAGACTTTGTGGACTGCTACCTGGATGAACTGGATAAACAGGTGTGTGAACACAATACAAAACTTCAACATCATGATGCTGATGAATGTGAGACAGGTACAGAAAAAAACTAAAACCAGGAAAACATCTGGATGCTGACTCAGCGTTATCACAAATCTTACATTTTGTTTCTCYTACAATATTCTCTGTATTCTGTCCAGAAAGAAGATTCTTCATTTTCTGAGGAACAGCTCAGAAGGATCACTTTTGATCTTTATATGGCTGGAACTGACACCACCTCCAACACCCTCCTGACTGGGTTTCTGTACCTCATGAACCATCCGCAGGTCCAAGGTAAAGTTTTAGGACAAGTCTCTTCTTTCAAATCGAAACAGGGCATAAAAGGATGACATTAAAAACTATTCATCATAACCACTTTAAGAGATTACATCACATTCGGGCTGCTCTGAAGTAAAGAAATTACACTGCATGGCCAAAACACAGTCGCCACCAAATAAAATCAAAACTATTAGATTTGGTTGGGCCACCTTTTGTTTTGATTACGACACATTCTCTGTGGCGTTGTTTCAGTAAGCTTCTGCAATGTCACAAGATTTATTTCCATCAAGTGTTGAAATAATCCGTCCGTCCTTCTGTTTTCTGCCGCTTATCCAGAATCAGGTCATGGGGGCAGCAGCCTAAAAAGAGAGACCCAGACTTCCCTCTCCCAGGCCACTTGGGCCAGCTCATCCGGGGGAATCCCAAGGCGTTCCCAGACCAGCTGAGAAACATAGTCCCTCCAGCATGTCCTGGGTCTTCCTCTGGGCCTCCTCCTAGTGGGACATGCTCGGAACACCTCACCAGGGAGGCGTCCAGGAGGCATCTTAACCAGATGCCCGAGCCACCTCAACTGGCTCCTCTTGACGTGGAGGAGCAGCGGCTCTACTCTGAGTCCCTCCTGGATGACCGCGCTTCTCACCCTATCTCTAAGGGAGAGCCCAGACATCCTGCAAAGGAAACTCATTTCGGCCGCTTGTATCCACGTTACTACCCAAAGTTCGAGACCATAGATGAGGCTAGAAACGTAGACCGACTGGTAAATCGAGAGCTTTGCCATATGGCTCAGCTCCTGCTTCACCACAACAGACTTGTACAGTGCCCGCATCACTGCAGATGCAGCACCAATCCGCCTGTCGATCTCCCGCTCCATTCTTCCCTCATTTGTGAACAAGACCCCGAGATACTTAAACTCCTTCACTTGGGTTAGGACCTCCTCCCTGAAGCGGAGGGGGGACGCTACCAGTTACCAGCTCAAGACCATGGTCTCAGATTTGGAAGTACTGATCCTCATCCCAGCCGCTTCACACTCGGCTGCGAACCGCTCCAGCAAGAGCCAGAGATTATGATCTAATGAAGCCAATAGGACCACATCATCTGCAAAAAGCAGAAATGTGATCCTAAGGTCACCAAAAAGGATCCCCTCACCACCTTGGCTGCTCCTAGAAATTCTGTCCATAAGAGTTATGTACAGAATCTGTGACAAAGGGCAAACTTGGCGGAGTCCAACTCTCACAAGAAACGAGTCAGACTTACTACATGCAATGCAGACCAAGCTCTGGTACTGGTCATACAGGGACCAAACAGCCCATATCAATGGGCCTGGTGCCCCGTACTCCCTGAGTACCCCCCACAGGAGTCCCCGAGGGACATGGTCGAATGCCTTCTACAAGTCCACAAAACATATGTAGACTGGTTGGGCGAACTCCCATGCACCCTCCAGGACCCTGCTAAGGAGGTCCACTGTTTCATGACCAGGAAGAAAACCATACTTCTCTTCCTGAATCCGAGATTCGACTATCCGACGGACCCTCCTCTCCAGGACCCTTGAATAAACCTTATCAGGGAGGCTCAGAGGTGTGGTCCCCCTATAGTTGGAACACACTCTGCGGCCCCGCTTTTAAAATAGGGGGACCACCACCCCAGTCTGCCAAGTCAGGGGAACTGCCCCCGATGTCCACGCAATGTTGTAGAGTCGCATCAACCAATGCAACCCCGCAACATCTAGAGCCTTAGAGAATTCTGCACGGATCTCATCCACCACCGGCGCCCTGCCACCAAGGAGCTTTTTAACCACCCACCTCGGTGACCTCTGCACCAGAGATTGGAGAGTCCGACTCAGGGTCCTTGGGCTCTGCTTCCTCATGGGAAGACATGTCGGTAGGATTGAGGAGATTCTCGAAGTAATCCGTTCACCGACCCACAACAGCCCAAGTTGAGGTCAGCAGCGCACCATCTCCACCATAAATAGTGTTGGTGGGGAACTTCTTTCCCCCTGAGATGCTGGGTGGTGGACCAGAATCGCCTCGAAGCCGTATGGAAGTCTTTTTGCATGGCCTCTCCAAACTCCTCCCATGCCCGAGTTTTTGCCTCAGCGACCACCTGAGCCTCAATCCGCTTGGACTGCTGATACCTATATTGGCTGCTTCCAGAGTCCCACAGGCCAAACAGACCCGATAGGTCTCCTTCTTCAGCCTGACAGCATCCCTCACCGCCGGTGTTCACCAGCGGGTTCGAGGGTTGCAGCCACGACAGGTACCAACAACCTTACGGCCACAGCTCCGGTAAGCCGCCTTGACAATGGAGGCACGGAACATGGCCCACTCAGACTCAATGTCCCCCACCTCCCCCGGAACTTGTTCAAAGTTCCCCCGGAGGTGTGAGTTTAAGCTCCGTCTGACGGGAGACTCTCACAGACGTTCCCAGCAGACCCTCACTGTATGTTTGGGTCTGCCAGGTTTGACCGGCATCCTGCCCCACCAACAGAGCCAACTCATTACCAGGTAGTGGTCAGGTGACAGCTCCTCCCCTCTCTTCACCCGAGTGTCCAAAACATGTGGCCGCAGATCAGATGAAACGACAACAAAGTCGATCTTTAAAGTATGGCCTAGGGTATCCTGGTGCCAAGAGCACTTATGGACACCCTTATGCCTGAACATGGTGTTTGTTATGGACAATCTATGACGAGCACAGAATTCCAATAATAAAACACTGCTCGTGTTCAGATCAGGGGGGCCGTTCCTCCAAACCACGCCTCTCCAGGTCGTACTATCATTACCCACTTGAGCGTTGATGTCCCCCAGCAGAATGAGGGAGCCCTCGTTAGGAGCGCTCTCCAGCACCCACTCCAAGGACTCCAGAAAGGGTGGGTAATCTGAACTGCTGTTAGGTGCATAGGCACAAACAACAGTCAGGACCCATCCCCCCACCCGTAGGTGGAGGGTGGCTACCCTCTCGTTCAACGGGGTGAACCCCAACGTACAGGCACCGAGATGGGGGGCAATAGGTATGCCCACTCCTGCTCAGCGTCTCTCATCATGGGCAACTCCAGAGTGGAAGAGTGTCCAAACCATCTCGAGGAGACTGGTTCCAGATCCAGAGCGGTGTCTCGAGATGAGTCCAACTATATCTAGTTAGAACCTCTCAACCTCACACACCAGCTCAGGTTCTTCCCCACCAGAGAGGTGACATTCTATGTCCCTAGAGCCAGCTTCTGTAGTCGAGGATCGGACCGCTAAGGTCCTCGCCTTCGACCACTGCCCAACACACATTGCACCCGACCCATACGGCCCCTCCCACAGGTGGTGAGCCCATGGGAACGGGGACTCATGTCTCCTATTCGGGCTGTGCCCGACCGGGCTCCATGGGTGGATTCCCGGTCACCAGGCACTCGCCAATGTGCCCCACCTCCAGGCCTGGCTCCAGAGTTGGATCCCGGTGACCTGCGTCCGGGCGAGGGAACACTTAATCCATTTATGGTACTCATCATAGGGGTCTTTGGCCTGCACTTTGTCTGATCCCTCACCTAGGACCTGTTTGCCTTGGGTGACCCTACTGGGGACATGAAGCCCCCAACAACATAGCTCCTAGGGTCTTTGGGACATTCAATCCTCTCTACCACGATTAGGTGGCAGCCCAATAATTGCAATGATTTTTCACCAAAATCTTGCATTGATGATGGTAGAGCCTGAGATTCTCCAGCACATCCCAAAGGTTCTCCATGGACTCTTTGGAGACAATCTATGTGTGAAAATGTCTCATGCTCCCTGAACCACTCTTTCACAATAAGAGCCTGGTGAATCCTAGCATTGTCATCTTAGAATTTGGCCGTGCCATCAGGCAAGAAACATTCTGTTGATGGAATAACCTGGTCATTCAGTATATACAGGTAGTCAGCTGACCTCATTCTTGTAACTCATTCTGTGGCTAAAGCTAGACCTGACCACCTGCAGCAACCCCACATCATAGAGCTTAGTTGAATCCAGGTGGAGATTTTTTTTGGCCAGCAGTGTATTTTACAGGTAAAATGTGTAAAACAGTTTCTGCCCCATCAGATCGATGTCAGCAGGAGATTGATCGAGTTCTGGATGGGAGGGATCGGGTTAGTTTTGAGGACAGACACAACATGCCTTACGTGCAGGTAATGAGCATCATCCCACATCTGTTCTGTTAATCTGAATGTTTAATCTGAGAGGCATGTCTGAATGTGTTTCTATCAGATAAACTGCAACTTTTCTGAGATTTCTTTCTATACGATACCTAAGATTATTTATTCCAGTACATTTTGTAATATCTCTGTTGTAATCCAGGCTGTGATCCATGAAATCCAGAGGGTTGCCAACACTGTTCCACTCAGTGCCTTCCACTGCTCCACTAAAGACACAGAGCTAATGGGATATGACATTCCCAAGGTGAGAATCTTTAAATTTACACAAGTATATGTAAAAATGAAATATTATCTTTATTGTCTTTCTTCATACCTTTGGTTTCCCTTCAGGGAACATTAATCATCCAGAATATGGAGTCAGTGCTGAGGGAGGAGGGTCAGTGGAAGTTCCCTCACGAGTTCAGTCCTGAGAACTTCCTGAACGAGCAGGGAGAGTTTGTCAAACCAGAGGCCTTCATGCCTTTCTCTGCAGGTAAACCTGTTAAACCATTTTACTTTCAGACCTGGACTACAGGGACAGAGTTTTTTTAGATCAAAAAGACAATAACTTTGGTTCTTTTTCTGGCATCTCAGGTCCTCGGATGTGTCTGGGAGAGGGTCTGGCTCGTATGGAGCTGTTCCTCATGACGGTGACCCTGCTGAGGAAGTTTAAATTCATCTGGCCAGAGGATGCTGGAGAACCAGACTTCACTATGGTTTTTGGGGCAACGTTGACTCCAAAACCTTACATGATGAAGGTCCAGCTGAGGTCTGAACAGTGAGGAGGTGCAGACGCTCTGCAGACACTGATGAATAACTGATCAGTTAAATAATAATTATAATCATTGTCCAATCCTTTGGACGCCATTGTATTTTTGGTGGATCTAAGTGTTAACAATTGTTTAGAAGCTTAAAGTTCATTCTAAACTTTGTCTCAGACACAGTTTTTCTCAAATATATTTCCACTCTGTAGATCATATAAGAAATGATTAATTTTGTCCTACAGGGTTTGCCGTAGATGGGGAATACATGTAATGTCACTCCCTGGTGTACTTGGTCTGTATTAGCTGTTAGCTGTTGTTCCTATCGCTAAAGATTCAAGTGAGAAGTTTCCTGGTTGTTTGTCTTCCTTTTATTACAATGCTACCATAAAGAAAGCATTTACACACACCAAAGATCCTCTGATTGTGTTCCATATTTTTTCCCGATCATCTCACAGATATCCTGACTGATCTACAGTCTGAGAAACTAATAGAGAGATTTGGTTTGTGTGAATAAATTAAAATAGATCTTGAACTGTGAGACAGCAAAGAGATTGCTTTTCACTTGTGTAAAATTTGAAATTTTTACAGCACTTTATGTCAGATATATAACAAGTTAAAAACATTCTTCAGACCTGATCAAGTCAGAAAAATACAGCATATTATTTTGAAGAATAGCACAAAAAGTGGTACCACACTGACTTCTGAGTCATCTTGAGAGAAAAAAACATTTTCTTAAAAAACACAAATACTGTCTGAAAGTAGATGAAAATGCCTACAGTTTGATGTATAGTTTGTATTAGTCTGCATTAAAGATGACAGAAGAGTAAGATTTAATAAAAGAGATCCTTTTTGAGGTGGATAAAAATAAGTGCATTCAAAATTATGGGAGACTTAAAGCTCCTATACTTTTGTTTAGGGCTGCATTTAATGACTACTTAAAAAGTCAATTAATTATTTTTTCTATTTATTTATCGCTGAATTGTCCCTCCATTCTTCCATTATCTATACACGTTTTTTCCTTTCAGGGTAACGGGAGTCACAGGTGTCCATTTCCAGCAGTCACAGTGCGAGGGGCAGGGTACACACTGGACAGTCCATCACAGATCGATGAATCTGAAAACATACGAAAAAATTTAAGATTATTTATTATTTACACTCACTGGCCACTTTATTAGGTACACCTGTCCAACTGCTCGTTAACACTTAATTTCTAATCAGCCAATCACATGGCGGCAACTCAGTGCATTTAGGCATGTAGACACACGGCCAAAAGGCGAAAATGGCGTACGCCAAAAAAAAAATAATTCAGATTTATAAAACTGTGCGTACGCATGTTTCTGC